GTGAAGGTTACTGGTTTTAGCCCAGTCAGCGTTCTGGGGGCCTTATTTTAGAGGAAACTTCCAAATAAAAGCTTCTTTAGAGATTTATTCCAGATTGAATCAGACGGATCCAGAGAAGCTTCTTTATTCCCAGCAGAGACGCGTCCTGCTTCATAGATGATCCTCTGCAGGCTCAAAATAATCCAGAAAACACTTTTATGACGAGAAAAATGTTTTAATAACGAACCCAAACAATCTGCAGCGATGATGATGATGATGATAAAAATCCCATCGATGAAACCTTTTAAGGCGATGAAGAAAACAGAGGAAGCAACACTTCAGAACTCTTTTCCATTTTGTCCTTTTTACTAAACTAAATGTACATATGCAGAAATATCACATGGTTATAAATAATCGAGTTCAAGAGCACTGAAATAAAATAATAATATATTAAATTTGATTATAAAAAGTCAATTCTACTCTAGGGGAACTGTACACTGTAAAAAAGGCAGCCGCTGCAGCAATACCCCCCATGAAGGACAGATAACGAGACGACTGATCAAATAAATACATTGATATTAAAGGTCTGAATGATTTTAGCTCCAAGAAAGGAAACGTTTCCTGAATCCGGTCCGGATTCCTGAATCCGGTCCGGATTCTGCTGCTTCATCACAATCTGACCTCCTTCCTGATTTTCTGGCTTCCAGCAAACAGACACCGTTCTGTCCAACCAGGACAGCAGAACTTCAGCTGCTGTAAATCCCTCCAGCCACCAGGTGGCGCCGTGTCACGGTTAGGAACTGCTGGGAGGAGAAGGCATCTTCATCATTTAAACCAACTTCTCTGGTGATGAAGAGGAGCAGCAGCTCTGCTCCTGGAAGCCTGAGCGACTCGCTGTCCCTATAAGACACGCTGGTCCAAACTGGGACCAGTAGGTCCAAACTGGGACCAGCAGGTCCAAACTGGGACCAGTAGGTCCAAACTGGGACCAGCAGGTGTGGATGTAAAATCCCATCGATGGACCAGAACAAAATTTCTGGATGCAGCAGTTTGACCTGAACAGGTTGAATAACTTCTAATCTCAGCTCCTCGCTCTGCTGGTCATTTCCTCTGGCCCTGCGAGGCACCGGGTCTCCTGATGACCCGCCGGGTCTCCTGATGACCCGCCGGGTCACCTGATGACCCGCCGGGTCTCCTGATGACCCGCCGGGTCACCTGATGACCCGCCGGGTCTCCTGATGACCCGCCGGGTCTCCTGATGACCCGCCGGGTCACCTGATGACCCGCCGGGTCTCCTGATGACCCGCCGGGTCTCCTGATGACCCGCCGGGTCTCCTGATGACCCGCCGGGTCACCGGGTCTCCTGATGACCCGCCGGGTCTCCTGATGACCCGCCGGGTCTCCTGATGACCCGCCGGGTCACCGGGTCTCCTGATGACCCGCCGGGTCTCCTGATGACCCGCCGGGTCTCCTGATGACCCGCCGGGTCTCCTGATGACCCGCCGGGTCTCCTGATGACCCGCCGGGTCTCCTGATGACCCGCCGGGTCACCTGATGACCCGCCGGGTCTCCTGATGACCCGCCGGGTCTCCTGATGACCCGCCGGGTCTCCTGATGACCCGCCGGGTCACCTGATGACCCGCCGGGTCTCCTGATGACCCGCCGGGTCTCCTGATGACCCGCCGGGTCTCCTGATGACCCGCCGGGTCTCCTGATGACCCGCCGGGTCTCCTGATGACCCGCCGGGTCACCGGGTCTCCTGATGACCCGCCGGGTCTCCTGATGACCCGCCGGGTCTCCTGATGACCCGCCGGGTCACCGGGTCTCCTGATGACCCGCCGGGTCTCCTGATGACCCGCCGGGTCACCGGGTCTCCTGATGACCCGCCGGGTCACCGGGTCTCCTGATGACCCGCCGGGTCACCTGATGACCCGCCGGGTCTCCTGATGACCCGCCGGGTCACCGGGTCTCCTTGTGACCCGCCTCCCCCCCTTTAGTCCCGCTGATGGTGCGGTGAGAGGTTCCCTCCCCAGGACTCCTCCCCGCCGGCCGTGAGCTTGAATCCTAAACAGGTCCAGTAATGAATTCGCAGCCCGCTCCTCAGTGGCCCAGATCGCCATGGAAACCCGACCAGCATATCAATGGGGCCGGCTGCCTGAGCCCCCCCCCCCCCCCCCCCCCCCAGGCCTCCTCCTCTCCTCACAGAGATAAAGGTCTGATAATTACAATATGGTGGCTGGTTGATGGAGCCCCCCCCCCCCCGCCGTCTTCCTGTCAGACGTGAGGATTGCTGCAGCAGTGTGACGCCATCAGCACGCCGCGGTTATTTTTCACAGTGTACGCCTGTCTAACGCCGCTTTCTAAACTTCGCTCTGCCACTGATTCCAGCTCATCTAATCCTAATCTAGCTCCCATAATCCCACCTTCTTTCCATCATTGATGCAGATTAAGATCCTAAACCAGATTCTCCTCCTCAAACCAGAACCTCCAGTTCTCTCCCAGTAAACGTTGCCGTCGTCCCAGTTGTAAGGAGCGATCCAGTGGTGTTAAACCAGATGTGTTGGATTCACTATGGAGGTTCACTATCGTCTTTCATTGTGAGCAAAGTGCTTCTCTGCACTCATGTCTTTACCTGACATGGAAAAGTGAGCTGCACACCGACACCGCGTGGAAAAATATATCCAAGGATTATTTTCATCTTTTGTTGTTTTTCTTTTTCTATAAAATCCAGACCTCCTGAAGGAAAGTGAAGCCGGTGGGTTTGTGTTCACCAGTTTCACCAGATCATCTGAAAAAGTGAAAATAAACGGCCTGCTGGGAAAGCACCATGAGGTCTGCATCAGCGTCATCAGCGCAGAAAGAAACCATCAGATTCACATCAAACCTGCTGACAGAAGATAAAACCTGCAGCTTCAATTCATTCCTCTTTTAATCTGAATTTGGATCCTTTAAATGAAATTAGAGGCTGTTCCTCTAAGATCAAAGGATCTACCGGCTGCTGTTTGGGTCAAATTCAGTCAGAACTTATTGAGCTTAATTTGCTTTTTTAGTTCAGTTTTGATTTTTATTTCCGAAGTTTATTAACTGTGTTCTAAATGTAAACTCTTTATACAGACTCCTAACACTTCCGACAGAAATATAACGGAGATGCAACATGTTAGCACTAGCATGTTAGCCATTAGCATGTTTAGCGTTAGCATTAGGATATCAGCTGTTTTAAAGGTAATGTTTTTGGAAATAGTAGCGATGGCTGACGAGGCGTTTCGACACTTTTCCAAACTATCGATGCTGCGTTGATACTGGCTCACTCAATACTGACACCTGCTGGACGTTTAAAGTCACTACAGGCAGCCCATCTGACTGTATGACCTGGTAATACTTTAATTTAAGCCGTTCAGTGTTATATTGTATTATTTAATATCCTTTTTTATATGAAAATATTCTGATATTTTTAGATGACATCCATAAAAAACGTAAACATTTAGGTTAACGTGTGAATGAGGACGATTGTTGACTAGCATTAAAAAAAATAAAAAAATTTACTTATTAGGGCCAGGCCAGAGATTTTCTTTTTCTATTACGAGAATAAAGTCGTACAATTACGATAATAAAGTCATAATATTATGAGAATAAAGTCGCAATATTACGAGAATAAAGTCGGAATATTACAAGAATAAAGTCGTAACATTAGGAGAATAAAGTTGTAACAGTAGGAGAATAAAGTCGCAATATTACGAGAATAAAGTCGGAATATTACAAGAATAAAGTTGTAACATTAGGGGAATAAAGTCGTAACATTAGGAGAATAAAGTCGCAATATTACGAGAATGAAGTCGGAATATTACAAGAATAAAGTTGTAACATTAGGAGAATAAAGTCGTAACATTAGGAGAATAAAGTCGCAATATTACGAGAATAAAGTCGGAATATTACAAGAATAAAGTCATAACATTAGGAGAATAAAGTCGCAATATTACGAGAATAAAGTCGGAATATTACAAGAATAAAGTTGTAACATTAGGGGAATAAAGTCGTAACATTAGGAGAATAAAGTCGCAATATTACGAGAATGAAGTCGGAATATTACAAGAATAAAGTTGTAACATTAGGAGAATAAAGTCGTAACATTAGGAGAATAAAGTCGCAATATTACGAGAATAAAGTCGGAATATTACAAGAATAAAGTCATAACATTAGGAGAATAAAGTCGCAATATTACGAGAATAAAGTCGGAATATTGCAAGAATAAAGTCGTAACATTAGGAGAATAAAGTTGTAACATTAGGAGAATAAAGTCGCAATATTACGAGAATAAAGTCGGAATATTACAAGAATAAAGTTGTAACATTAGGAGAATAAAGTCGCAATATTACGAGAATAAAGTCGGATTATTACAAGAATAAAGTCGTAACATTAGGAGAATAAAGTCGTAACATTAGGAGAATAAAGTTGTAACATTAGGAGAATAAAGTCGGATTATTACAAGAATAAAGTCGTTACATTAGGAGAATAAAGTCGTAACATTAGGAGAATAAAGTCGTAACATTAGGAGAATAAAGTCGTATTTTATTCCAACTCTTAAAAGAGGCACCTTCTTCAATCATCTGCTGGTCGGAGCTCCAGGCTTTCTTTCTGAAACACGTTGTGGTATGATGACTTTATTCTGGTTATGTTACGACTTTATTCTCATAATAAAAATAAATTCTCTAGCCTGGCCCTAATACTCCGTCGTATAAACTAAATTTCATTTTGAATTTAATTAAATTCAGAGAACTTTGGTGAAAACTGAGAAGGACAGGATGACACAGCGAGATACGAGATGAAAATGGTCCAATCAGGTGAATCCTTTCTTGCATCTCGTTCACATGCGCTAATAAACACAGTTTAGTGCGGCAGTCATTTTGAAACAGCGCTGGTATCGCTAACCGACGCGCACCGAGACCCATCACTAGGAGATAGTTACCATTAGCATCAGCGTGCTAATATTAGTGTTATTGGTGAAATATTGTGGTTGCTGAATGCTGTCACTTATCACTCCATCCATTAGCCCGCTAACGCTAAAGTATATGATAAAATGTCAATTGTAGAGGCTAAGTGTCAGTGTGCTAATGTCTTTAGGCTAACAATAATGTAGATACCTTTAGCGAGTTAACGCTTTATGCAACTGTAGCACGAATATTAATGGCATGCTGAAGTTTTCTTCTCCTTTAGCAAGATGCTAACCATAGCTACACCCATTAGCTCGCTGTTGTTATTCCATTTGCTATCTGATCATATCAATTGTTGAACATCAAAGCTATATGTTAGCATGCTGTTTTTGTTGCTAAACACAAACGCAATTGTTGAACGGCTAACAGGAAAATCAATGAATAAGAAAAAATGTTAACATGCCAGTGCTAAGATTTAGCATAGTGACATATATTTTAGCATCTACTAGCATTCTGAAGCATGAACTGTGGAAGCTAACTAGCTGGCTAATAACTATAAAAACTATCCAGTGAGTTTTTTTAATATCAGAGAAATATCAGATTAAGAAACTGTGCTCTTGGTTTATTGATCCGTGTGCTAGGATCAATAAACTTTGCATTCCGTGCGCACACAGCTGCTCCGTGCCCACGGATTTCCACCAGCTTTTTTATTATTTTTTCCCCTGACACCCAGGGGGCTCCGTATGACATAGTTTAGTAGAATCAGAGGCTTTAATCGGTTTGCTCTGCGCTGTTGGGGTTAGCCTAGAACGCTTTGGTGGCTGAAGCTACATGGTCTTTCATGCTGCCTTCATGTGGGATCGTAAATATGAGAAATAAAATACTAGATCAAAGCTGCAGCTGAACATGCAGTGATGTTGGAATTTCTACTGGAAAGCTGAGAACTCTGATGAAACATAAGTTTCTAAGATGACCTTTCAGCACTGCGGAGAGCGGCGAACTGTGAGAGCAGGATCGATGCCATAAAGTGATCCAAACATCGTTTGCCGTATCGGTTTGGACGCCACAGATTCTCCGGAAGATTTATTTACTTTTAGGATAGAAATTTAACGCAAAACCGGGTCCTTCGGATAATTAAACATTCCTTTTCCCGATCCGAAGCCATTCCTGCCACAGACCATTTTAATGACGTTTTAACGATGCTTTCATAGAGCTTAGCAATGCGTGAAGTAGTGTTTCTATAAACGCGCCTGAAGACCTTTGACGACACTGACGTCACAGCTGGGTTTGGTCATGTGACTGATGTAGATGCGCCAGCATTAGGGCGGAGTATTGGGATGGATGTCACGATATTTGGGTCACGGTACGATATTATCACGATACTGAAATATCAACAAGTATCGCAATATTTTTCCCAGCTATCAAAATTTAGTGTATGGATAAGAAAGCAAACTGCAAACGTCCATCAGAAGGTATTGATCATTTATTTATTTTTTTGGGGGGTTTGAGTCGGTCGATGTCTTCCACTCTGACGGCGCTGCGCCGCGCAGCAGAAGGCTGCATGGCGCCGTCTGCCATAGTGGCGGATCAGGTGTGAACCTATTTCCCTCATAATTTTAGATAAAAATCTTTTGATTAAAAATCAAAACTAGGAAATGAAAGATCGATATAACATCAGGCAGCCAAAACTCACAATATATCGCCAAAATTATTTTTTTCTAACTTAAACTTTCCAAAGGATGATTTTTACCACATGAAGGCAGCATTAGACAGATTTTAAACTATTAAATGTTTCCGTGTTTAACAGCTAAACGTTGAGCGGCGGCCATTTTGAACACAGCTGTGAATTTGATCCCTGACCTCCGTCTGGTCCCTGTCTGGTCTATCTAAAGTTAAACTGTTTGGATTTTGGTTCCTTTTTCCCTCCATCTGTTCGTTCATTCAGACAGAAAGAAACAAAAATAAAGATTCACACGAAGCTTTCAAGGTCACAATTTGGCAGCAACACAACTTCCGCTGGAAAAGATGTTTGTTTTTCTGGGCTGAAACAGAAGCAGACCATGAGGATCTGGAAAGAGTTCAGGAGAACTTTTGTTTCCTAATTCCCATCATCAGGGAAAAGGAGGGGCTACACGCGTTGCCAGGGCGACGGCTCATTCAGCAGAAAGTTTTCCTTTTTTAGAAGACAACAAGTAAACGAAGAAGGAAAACACACGAACAATGATGGGCAGCAGTAGGTCCACGAGAAAGATAAGGTTCCAGTGAAACTTTGGTGGCTGAAAATGTTCCGTTTTTTCCTAAATGTAGGAATTCAAACTAAATCCACATCCTGTGAATGCACAAAGATAAAAAACCGAGTGATGCATCACCTCCCGCCGTAGCTGTGGAGGACGACGCTCATAAATACCACAGATAGGAGAAAGAGGAGGATCTTTGTCTATTTTGCTGATATTCTCTCCCTCCTGCTCGTCAGCCTCTGGGCATTGGATTTTTTTTCGGTTTCCTGTCTGAGGTTGAAGAAGCTGGAGTTCGCAGGTAGAGAATCACCTCAGATCAGGTCTAGTTCATGGAGTCGAAGCAGCTGAGTTCCTGCTGCCTGTTTTATTCCCGTTTCAATCCGGTCCACGATCCAGAAGTCACTCCAGGAAAACTGACAGCAGGAGATATGGAGGCTAGCAGGGAGGTTCCAGTCTGGTCCACGGCTGAAGGCCACGGCATGTTAGAAGGCGGAGCCAGTGATGGCGTTCAGCTGCTGCATCAGTCCTTCTAGACTGGCCATCTGCTCCGACAGGTCGTCCTGCTCGTAGACCTGAAATACAACAGAACAGAGACGTTACAATGGAAGGTTCTGGAGGCGGAGCCTGCTGGTCTGCAGGTCCGTCTGGGTTTTATGGGTTCGGCTCAAATCTAAGGACAGATCTGTAGGTCTATAGATCTGTCCTTAGATCAGTCTATCATCCTGAGCTGTAGGTCTATAGATCTGTCCTTAGATCAGTCCATCATCCTGAGCTGTAGGTCTATAGATCTGTCCTTAGATCAGTCTATCATCCTGAGCTATAGGTCTATAGATCTGTCCTTAGATCAGTCCATCATCCTGAGCTGTAGATCTATAGATCTGTCCTTAGATCAGTCCATCATCCTGAGCTGTAGATCTATAGATCTGTCCTTAGATCAGTCTATCATCCTGAGCTGTAGGTCTATAGATCTGTCCTTAGATCAGTCCATCATCCTGAGCTGTAGATCTATAGATCTGTCCTTAGATCAGTCTATCATCCTGAGCTGTAGGTCTATAGATCTGTCCTTAGATCAGTCTATCATCCTGAGCTGTAGGTCTATAGATCTGTCCTTAGATCAGTCTATCATCCTGAGCTGTAGGTCTATAGATCTGTCCTTAGATCAGTCTATCATCCTGAGCTGTAGGTCTATAGATCTGTCCTTAGATCAGTCTATCATCCTGAGCTGTAGGTCTATAGATCTGTCCTTAGATCAGTCTATCATCCTGAGCTGTAGGTCTATAGATCTGTCCTTAGATCAGTCCATCATCCTGAGCTGTAGGTCTATAGATCTGTCCTTAGATCAGTCCATCATCCTGAGCTGTAGGTCTATAGATCTGTCCTTAGATCAGTCTATCATCCTGAGCTATAGGTCTATAGATCTGTCCTTAGATCAGTCTATCATCCTGAGCTGTAGGTCTATAGATCTGTCCTTAGATCAGTCTATCATCCTGAGCTGTAGGTCTATAGATCTGTCCTTAGATCAGTCTATCATCCTGAGCTGTAGGTCTATAGATCTGTCCTTAGATCAGTCCATCATCCTGAGCTGTAGGTCTATAGATCTGTCCTTAGATCAGTCTATCATCCTGAGCTGTAGGTCTATAGATCTGTCCTTAGATCAGTCCATCATCCTGAGCTGTAGGTCTATAGATCTGTCCTTAGATCAGTCTATCATCCTGAGCTGTAGGTCTATAGATCTGTCCTTAGATCAGTCTATCATCCTGAGCTGTAGGTCTATAGATCTGTCCTTAGATCAGTCTATCATCCTGAGCTGTAGGTCTATAGATCTGTCCTTAGATCAGTCTATCATCCTGAGCTGTAGGTCTATAGATCTGTCCTTAGATCAGTCTATCATCCTGAGCTGTAGGTCTATAGATCTGTCCTTAGATCAGTCTATCATCCTGAGCTGTAGGTCTATAGATCTGTCCTTAGATCAGTCTATCATCCTGAGCTGTAGGTCTATAGATCTGTCCTTAGATCAGTCTATCATCCTGAGCTGTAGGTCTATAGATCTGTCCTTAGATCAGTCCATCATCCTGAGCTGTAGGTCTATAGATCTGTCCTTAGATCAGTCTATCATCCTGAGCTGTAGGTCTATAGATCTGTCCTTAGATCAGTCTATCATCCTGAGCTGTAGGTCTATAGATCTGTCCTTAGATCAGTCCATCATCCTGAGCTGTAGGTCTATAGATCTGTCCTTAGATCAGTCTATCATCCTGAGCTGTAGGTCTATAGATCTGTCCTTAGATCAGTCTATCATCCTGAGCTGTAGGTCTATAGATCTGTCCTTAGATCAGTCTATCATCCTGAGCTGTAGGTCTATAGATCTGTCCTTAGATCAGTCCATCATCCTGAGCTGTAGGTCTATAGATCTGTCCTTAGATCAGTCTATCATCCTGAGCTATAGGTCTATAGATCTGTCCTTAGATCAGTCCATCATCCTGAGCTGTAGATCTATAGATCTGTCCTTAGATCAGTCTATCATCCTGAGCTGTAGGTCTATAGATCTGTCCTTAGATCAGTCTATCATCCTGAGCTGTAGGTCTATAGATCTGTCCTTAGATCAGTCTATCATCCTGAGCTGTAGGTCTATAGATCTGTCCTTAGATCAGTCCATCATCCTGAGCTGTAGATCTATAGATCTGTCCTTAGATCAGTCTATCATCCTGAGCTGTAGGTCTATAGATCTGTCCTTAGATCAGTCTATCATCCTGAGCTGTAGGTCTATAGATCTGTCCTTAGATCAGTCTATCATCCTGAGCTGTAGGTCTATAGATCTGTCCTTAGATCAGTCCATCATCCTGAGCTGTAGGTCTATAGATCTGTCCTTAGATCAGTCTATCATCCTGAGCTGTAGATCTATAGATCTGTCCTTAGATCAGTCTATCATCCTGAGCTGTAGATCTATAGATCTGTCCTTAGATCAGTCCATCATCCTGAGCTGTAGGTCTATAGATCTGTCCTTAGATCAGTCCATCATCCTGAGCTGTAGATCTATAGATCTGTCCTTAGATCAGTCTATCATCCTGAGCTGTAGGTCTATAGATCTGTCCTTAGATCAGTCCATCATCCTGAGCTGTAGATCTATAGATCTGTCCTTAGATCAGTCTATCATCCTGAGCTGTAGATCTATAGATCTGTCCTTAGATCAGTCTATCATCCTGAGCTGTAGATCTATAGATCTGTCCTTAGATCAGTCCATCATCCTGAGCTGTAGGTCTATAGATCTGTCCTTAGATCAGTCCATCATCCTGAGCTGTAGATCTATAGATCTGTCCTTAGATCAGTCTATCATCCTGAGCTGTAGATCTATAGATCTGTCCTTAGATCAGTCCATCATCCTGAGCTGTAGGTCTATAGATCTGTCCTTAGATCAGTCTATCATCCTGAGCTGTAGATCTATAGATCTGTCCTTAGATCAGTCTATCATCCTGAGCTGTAGGTCTATAGATCTGTCCTTAGATCAGTCTATCATCCTGAGCTGTAGGTCTATAGATCTGTCCTTAGATCAGTCCATCATCCTGAGCTGTAGGTCTATAGATCTGTCCTTAGATCAGTCCATCATCCTGAGCTGTAGGTCTATAGATCTGCCCTTAGATCAGTCTATCATCCTGAGCTATAGGTCTATAGATCTGTCCTTAGATCAGTCCATCATCCTGAGCTGTAGATCTATAGATCTGTCCTTAGATCAGTCTATCATCCTGAGCTGTAGGTCTATAGATCTGTCCTTAGATCAGTCCATCATCCTGAGCTGTAGGTCTATAGATCTGTCCTTAGATCAGTCTATCATCCTGAGCTATAGGTCTATAGATCTGTCCTTAGATCAGTCCATCATCCTGAGCTGTAGATCTATAGATCTGTCCTTAGATCAGTCCATCATCCTGAGCTGTAGATCTATAGATCTGTCCTTAGATCAGTCTATCATCCTGAGCTGTAGGTCTATAGATCTGTCCTTAGATCAGTCCATCATCCTGAGCTGTAGGTCTATAGATCTGTCCTTAGATCAGTCTATCATCCTGAGCTGTAGGTCTATAGATCTGTCCTTAGATCAGTCCATCATCCTGAGCTGTAGGTCTATAGATCTGTCCTTAGATCAGTCTATCATCCTGAGCTGTAGGTCTATAGATCTGTCCTTAGATCAGTCTATCATCCTGAGCTGTAGGTCTATAGATCTGTCCTTAGATCAGTCCATCATCCTGAGCTGTAGGTCTATAGATCTGTCCTTAGATCAGTCCATCATCCTGAGCTGTAGATCTATAGATCTGTCCTTAGATCAGTCCATCATCCTGAGCTGTAGATCTATAGATCTGTCCTTAGATCAGTCTATCATCCTGAGCTGTAGGTCTATAGATCTGTCCTTAGATCAGTCCATCATCCTGAGCTGTAGGTCTATAGATCTGTCCTTAGATCAGTCTATCATCCTGAGCTGTAGGTCTATAGATCTGTCCTTAGATCAGTCTATCATCCTGAGCTGTAGGTCTATAGATCTGTCCTTAGATCAGTCCATCATCCTGAGCTGTAGGTCTATAGATCTGTCCTTAGATCAGTCTATCATCCTGAGCTATAGGTCTATAGATCTGTCCTTAGATCAGTCCATCATCCTGAGCTGTAGATCTATAGATCTGTCCTTAGATCAGTCCATCATCCTGAGCTGTAGATCTATAGATCTGTCCTTAGATCAGTCTATCATCCTGAGCTGTAGGTCTATAGATCTGTCCTTAGATCAGTCCATCATCCTGAGCTGTAGGTCTATAGATCTGCCCTTAGATCAGTCTATCATCCTGAGCTGTAGGTCTATAGATCTGTCCTTAGATCAGTCCATCATCCTGAGCTGTAGGTCTATAGATCTGTCCTTAGATCAGTCTATCATCCTGAGCTGTAGGTCTATAGATCTGTCCTTAGATCAGTCTATCATCCTGAGCTGTAGATCTATAGATCTGTCCTTAGATCAGTCTATCATCCTGAGCTGTAGGTCTATAGATCTGTCCTTAGATCAGTCCATCATCCTGAGCTGTAGATCTATAGATCTGTCCTTAGATCAGTCTATCATCCTGAGCTGTAGGTCTATAGATCTGTCCTTAGATCAGTCTATCATCCTGAGCTGTAGGTCTATAGATCTGTCCTTAGATCAGTCTATCATCCTGAGCTGTAGGTCTATAGATCTGTCCTTAGATCAGTCTATCATCCTGAGCTGTAGGTCTATAGATCTGTGCGTCCATCTCCTGCTGTGACCAATGATCCTTCATCACCTCTAGATCTTTGGATCTCTGAGGACTTTCTGACCCGGTCCACAGAATCCAGGGAACCGTCTACAAACCAGACCTGCTGACTTCCTCCTCTTCCTCCTCTTCCTCATCATCTTCTTCCTCATCAGCATCTTCCTCATCATCATCTTCCTCATCATCATCTTCCTCATCCCACAGTGATGTCTTGTAGCCTCGTAATGAACTTTGTCATCGTCTTCCCCCTTCTCCTCTGGTTGCCATGGTGACGCCTCCTCAGGAGTAGGAATATTTAACGCGCCCTGATGGCTGAT